GATGGCAGGTGATGTCATTGGATGCTCCATTGACCTGGATAAAGGGGAGATYTCATACTCTAGGTAAAAKCTTTCTCAAGATTTTACTTTTGTTTYTCTTTTGCCTTGTGTTTACATACTKTATTTATTTGTTYTGTCTTTAGAAATGGTAAAGACCTGGGTGTAGCATTCAATAATGTRCGATATGGACCAGGGCTGGCTTACTTTCCTGCCGTCAGTCTCTCATATGGAGAATCTTGTCAGCTTAATTTTGGAGCCTGTCCATTTAAGTATCCTTGACACTGATGAATAAAATATCAGCATTGAGTGTTTGTTTTTAATCAAACGAATTCAGTGTTGCATTAATAAGATGCTATACAGAGAGATAAACTTGCATTTAAAAATGTTGGAGCATTGGATAGTGATGAATAAAACATCTGTATGGATAGTGATGAATAAAATATCTGTATTTATTGTTGTACTTAACAAAGAAACAAGATTTCCAATGGAGGGATTCAAACCTTTGCAAGACCCTCCCACAGCTCATGTTGCCAAGGCCATTGAACTAATGAATTGCTTGGAGAGATTATTACCATCAGTAAGTCTTAACTAATAATAATAATAACTAATAATAATTAAATACCAGTACTACTAAATATATGTTTTCATTGTTTTTTAGCCTGATCGGATTCCATCTCTTCCTTTGTCACTACGTGCAAGATCGGACTCGCTCTCTTTTCTCACTATTTCTCATGTGTTTGAAAAACTTGGACCACTTCTTGTAAGTATAACTGAACATGTACATGATTCCATTGTCATGCTCAAGTGGTCAGATTTACAAACTATTAAGATTTATTGAACCTCTAATTCCTTGAATATATTTAACTACAGACAAAAGGGTATGCTGTTGAGAAGGTTCTTCTGCCATTTCTTCTCAAGTCATGCTCTGGTGGAAACCCCTTGTCAGATCAACCAGGAGTTAARAAGATGCTCGATTTGATGTGGGCTTGTATGGAGGTCAGAATGAAAGCACATATTTGATGTTTATAGGGTTACATGATTATTAAAGATGACTAAGTCTATTCAAAACTTTCAAAAGTGGTGCGGATATGTCACAGTCGCCGACCAGGGCACTGGGGATGAAGCATTATTTTAAACGACTTCGATGGTGTTTTTCAAGAGTGTTTTGTTATAAATAGCTACCAGTACATCTTTCAACTTTTGAACACTACCTACATGCGATCTTCATACAAGATAGTGATTCTTAGATGGAAGGCCTTTGAGGTCTTGTTCCCATGATTTGACACTAGTCACTCTGCTATTGGCAGTTGTGAACTACCGCCATTGTTGAACGTTGTGTATAAATGGATAAAATTTCCATTATCAATATTATACTTAGTTGAGGAAAAGTTGTCTGTCTTTTCAATTTTGTGGACAGGATTTTGAGCTGCAGCCATGTATGGARCAATTACTGTTTGCACTCATTAAAGCTTATTGGTATCAACCTGTTACTTTGGACTTCAAACATCAGGTACTAAATTTATGGATGAATGGATATTAAATAAATGAATGGAYGAATAAATGAATGGACGAATAAATGAACTAATTAAGAAATGAAAGCGTTGTCTAATAAGTAAAAGGACAATTGAATA